GTTCCCATCCTCGAAAACGGCCAGCGCAGTTACTGCGCCAATCATAGGGGTATAAGCCTAATTCGGTAGCGTCAAAGCTGTTGGCGTCCGTCATTCTCCGCCGATTGTACGCTATGCGTGCGGAGTGAACCCGCAAGGAGCAAGCTGGGTTTCTGGCCGGTCTTGGATGCATCGATCAAATCTTCACTCTCGAACAGCTGCTAAATCATCGTCATGCCCATCAAAGATCAACGATCACTGTATTCTTAGACATCCACGCGACCTTCGACTCTGTCGATAGGACCGCACTATGGAACTGTTTGTTGAGGAATGGAGTACCTGAGAAGTATAAGTCGATTCTCAAAGAGATGTATTGTCATACCTCAGGTCGGGTTGGGGCCTATGGTCAGCTTTCGCCACCGTTCGCCGTCTCCAGTGGAGTTCGACAAGGTTGCCCTATATCCCTATTCCTTTTCAACTTTGTCATAGCGGATGTTCTACAGAATGCTTTGGCCGGTCTAGCAAACGGTGGAATCGAACCCCTCCCAGGGAACAGAGTCCTTGACTTACAATATATCGATGACATCGCTTTGGTGTACACAGAAAACTAAACACATTTTAAAGCGCTTGACGATCGAGGTATCCAGGTATGGTATGTGTTTTCGCCTTCCAAATGCAAAGTACTTGTTCAAGACTGGCAAGAGCCTTTGCCTACACTCACCCTCTGTGGTGATCAGCTAGAAGTAGTTGAGAGCTTGAAGTACCTCGGGAGCATGATCACAGCTGGTGTTGGGGAGGAGATCACATCACGAATAGCGAGAGTTAGAGCAGCTTTCACCAACCTGCGACACCTGTGGCACCGCCATGAAATCTAGGTGTCACTTGAGGGAAGGGTGTACATCACCGCAGTTCGTAGCGTTTCGCTTTACGATTACGAGACCTGGCCTCTGCTCGTTGAGGATGTTTATCGACATTCTGTATTCGACAACCGATGTCTCCAAAGGATTGCCTGGTGGGAACATCAGGTCAGCAATGATGAGATTTGTAATCGCTCTACACCACCTCCAACTGCTTGGTCACGTTTTACGTATGCCAGCCTATCGACTACCTTTCCGTGGTCTCTTCGCATGTGCCGGGCAAGGCTGGAAGAAACGCCGCGGCGGTGAGACCGTGACATGGCCTAGAAGTATGGAGAACCTGGCTTCAGCTTTGGCTTTGGTTGGTGCAGCTCACCTTCCAGGTTCAGGCCCGATGGATGAGGATTGTCGTTGGTTAGGGACGCTGCGAGATATGATCCAGAATAGAAGTCAGTGACGCAGATGCTGTACAGTCTGCCTGTCGAAATCCCGTGCCTCGTAAAAGCAATAGCAAACAACACAAAAAATATCAAAAAGTGTACGATGAAACCCACAAAAGATTGTTATTCCATTTATTTGCAACTTTCCATTTTAGCAGTTCCATTTTCTACTATGTTCTGTATTCCAACCCCCCCTCCCGTTATTGTTATTGCTATTATTGATGTGGCGTTGGCACCATACTTATCACGAAGTCGGTGTTATATATATACTCAACGGTAGAATCTTCACGTATGACTCTCAAGTCTGATTCCTCCTTTCGCCGAGCTATCGTCAGATTTTGGACATATGATTGACAAGATAATAGATTCCATCGGTCGCATAGCAGACCGCACGTAAGACAGTGAAAAAACTTTAAAAAGATCACATTAAGCGTTCCAAAACATACAGGAGAGTGAATGTTTTCAGAGTGCATATGGGTTGGTTGTTCCTTAAAAGTATTTTCCATTCGTTTTTTTCACATTGGGTTCTTACCTGCACATAAGATTCCATTTGTGTCTGGCTTGTTGATCTATCGATAATCAGGTTTATCAACTGCCCACTAATTTAATCGTTATCAGTGTGCAAATACACTGCAGATCGAACGTCCCACCGAGAGGAAGTGATTGTATAGAAATATGGATTGGTTTATATTGAAGCAAGTTGCTCTCAAAAGCAGTAACGAGAGATTCACACGGACATATCCCCCCCCCACACACACTCGTTTGGTCCGATTCCGGGCAACAACAACGGACCGTGAACTCATACTCTTGATTACGTGATTTGCACTAGTCACACGCTGCAGTAATTGCCAAATATTCGTTCAAAATACTATTTTACGGTTCGGTTAATGAATATTTGTGACCATAGGTTACATAGGTGTGACAGGTGGGTAGCATCAATGTTAGGGACTAAACTAGCGGTCAGAATTTATCGGTATTGTGTACGCATTTGGAGGAGGATGCAAGGAGGAGGAGGTAACTCTGTTCATGTTAGCAGTATTCATCAACTGCACCAAGCACATGAGCATATCTGTGGACAAGCAGACAGGCTAGCATGCCAGCAACCTGCACGGAGGTCGGCTTATTTCAGTCAACCTTAGGAAATCAAACTTCACTTTGGCTCTCATTGAGCTGGTGGGAGGTGTAAATCATACGTTGTATCCCAATTTCAAACTCCCTGGTCTCTTGCCTAGAAGCCGTGTGAGTGTCTGTGTGTATTGCCAATATGACACCTGCTATCTCATACCGGGTATGATCAGGTTTCGATTCGTGTGAGCTATTCTTTCTTCAAATAGATAGAGCAAAACTACTGGTTTACTCCGCCAGCTTCCTCTCATGAACTCCAGAGAAATTTAAGGACAGTCACTTACAAATGTACTTTTCAGCTCACTGAGAAAAATCTGGGACATCCAATGAATTGATTTTAAAGTGGTCATGCTCGTGAGTTTTTAGTTCAAGGTACAATACCGTAAATGACAAAATTTTTTCCAACATGTAGCATACATTTGGTACCATAAATATTTTACCCAAGGGACTGCATTCCAAGAGTTATGTGGAAAGACTGGAATCACTACAACTGAACTCCGTACAGCATCACCGCATCCGAGGGGACTTGATCTTGGTGTATCAAATAAGGCAGAACCCAGACCATTCATTTCGTTCGCTCTTCGCCTTGTTCGCTAACACTCACCTGAGGGGGCACTCGTTCATATTAGTGTTCCAAAAATGACGACTTGAATGCCGGCGTCATTCATTCCCCCTCAGAGTGTGCACTACTTGGAATTATCTACCACCGCGTTGTTTCTGCGCCCACAATTGATTCCTTCAAGCACAAATTGGATGAAGCTTTGACAAGTCTTAAATTTCAACATCCGTAGCAGTGAATTAAACATGGATAAATTGTGACATTCGTCTACTTTCTATGAACCGTGAATCGATTCATCTGTGCTAAACCCTATGAGACTAGAAAAGCAACCGCTTGTAAGTAATTCCCGTCTTTGACACAAAAATATAAATCTGACCTTTTGGTTCAAACACTCACAAGGGTTGAAATCAGTTTGAGATCTATGACTGCACCTTTCCCGCTGAAACCGCCGCTGTTGACGGAAATTTAAAACGTTTCGTTTCTTTTCGAAGGACAGTGAATTCCCC